ATTACGGCTTTTTGGGATCCACAGATTCACTTATTCAGTTGTAGAACCTCAGCGAGTGGCTTCACTCTATTATATGAGTCTGATGGTAATTCGTTTTCCCATGAGGAATGTGAGGCTTGATTGGACTTGGGCCGGCTGGATCCTGTCCAGCCAACCCTGTGATCGCATTTGGGCATAGAAGAGGCTCTCGCTTCTATCCCTGGCTGATTATGTTCGGTAGGTAGTAAGAACCATATTAACTAAAGAATTCCAAAAAAAGAATATGCTCTGTGTTACTATGCTTTTACATGAATAGATGAATCCGATTCTACATAGTTTTTCATCTAGTTGTTCGAATGTTGCTTGAGTTCCGTTCAAGGAAATGGCAGAGTAGTAGAAAGTCCTAAGACAGCTACTACCATACGGAGTGATCTATGAATACGTATATGGAACAAGCAAAAAAATTCCGTAGGATTCACTGAGAGTATAGCTGAAGAAGAGGCAGTGCAACGTTTCCTGCTGAGGTTTTGCTATGAGTTGTTGAGTTGGATCTTCCATTTGGGTTATTCATTTCTATTGAAGTCCTATTCTCGTGAAATAATTTTTGAGTTTATTCTGATTACTAAATGATCAAATGGAAGTGAGGATATAGTTGCCGTTAGTAATGTAGATGGTTATGTCCAATCCTCATTACTAGTTTTGAGGAAACTAGAACCATGAAGATTTCAGGAGAGATCACGACGATTTTGAATTCCGAGCAATAATAACCTTTGTGAAACATTCATCTATTAAGGGCAAAGGGAGCGACATGAAGAATCTGTACTGAACATAGAAAATCAAATAAAAACCTTTGTCTCATGATTAAGATGAGATCTATCGTTCGATAAGAACCAACCTCAACGTTAGTGCCCTAATGAATGGAACGCTCTGGCGGCGGAACTGTTATGGCCCTGCTCGTATGTGACTTTATCGTGAGTTATTTCGAAATGTTGCAGCTGAATGAATGAATATATAACATTCGAAAATGCTTTTACTTCCTACTTCTTGACTACTTCTAACTTTCGCTGAAATGACAACTTCCTTTGGTTGGTACCTTCACTTATCGCTCTTATTTGTGAAAGCCTTTAAGGATTTATTTCTGCTTTGAATGACCTTACATTAATCCTTATATTGGCTTTTGTTTTTTTTTCAAATTTATTTTTTTCAGTCGGTATAATAAATAATATCTTATGGTTATTGTTCACAAATCATCAAATTTACAGGAATAAATCCTAGGGATTGATGAAATCAGATGAGATAATGCTGATTGAACACAAATAGATTCAGAAAGCCATCTTACTAGACTGATTTCAAAAAACCTCGGCTGTTCCCTTGGTTTTCCATGTTAGCAATCTTGATAGTGTGCACCTCTAGCATGGCGAACCTCCATGAAGAGAATTCTACGAAAGTTAGTTACAGACAGCTAGGCGGTTGAGATTACAACTGCAGTAGTTCTGCAGAAGCTGACAGCTAGTGGGTCCAAGGGCTTGGCTCGGTTTCTGGCAAAGTTCACCTTGTCACAACAGTGCAAATGTTTTTGCAAAATAGAGTTAATGAATGAAGAGTCAGAATCCGCTTTNTTTCATCCAACCATTCTTTCTGATGATCAGATGTCTGATGATGGTCGTTTTGTTTATCACTCAAGAAACCCGAGATACTATTTCAGAGACTCAAATCACCCGTTGATTTGTTATGTAAATACTAGAGTAAATTTTTTTCATTACTCTCTTCAATATCCTCTCATAGCCTCTTAAAAATCTCCAGTCCAGCAAATTCGCTAACCTTCTCCATTTGTGTGGGGTATTTGAACTGAGGAACATGGTATCTCGTTGTCCGATATTCCCTTCCTGCATCAAAAGCCCATAAAGAGGATTCCAAGAAAAGAAAAAGAACTTTTCCTTCGTAGGAACAGTTTAGCAGTTGTGATGAATTGATCTAAAGGTATTGTCTCACACTGTTTTAGTTCGGAGCTCTTTTGGAGATTTAGACAAGTACTGCTAAAATGGATTGGTAAAGTTCAAGGAAATGAAATATCATACAAATTCTCAAGCTGCCCATTTCGGAAGCTGTTCGATAGGCGTTAACTTCAAAAGGGCATTGAAGTGGTTGTGAAGCAGTATGTTGAAAGTCTACCATTCCCAACGGGTTCAAGTGCTCTCTGTCTGACCTCTCTAATTGCGGGCGGTAGATGGCTTTTATCCTTCGGACGTCAGGTCGACGGTCCCGATAAGACGGCCAAGGTTGGCGCATCATTACGCCGCCGTAAATGACTGACTAGTCGAGGTAACCACTGGCGAACGTTCTGAGTCAACATAACCTTTCCGCACAACTCCCGCATCATTTCTTCTTTAGGAGTTTCCATAGGGGAAGGGAAGAACGGGCTAACTTCAAGGCAAAATAGTTGGATTTTCAAGCCTCCCTCTTTTTCTTTATTTTTTTCTCCTGTTTCACGGTTTTGCTTAAAATAATTTTCTTCGGAGGAAAGGCCTTCACGCCATCTTTCCAATGCAACGTTCGTTTCTTTTGTTCCAGCCCTTGTAGATCCCGTTGCCATACATTCTTCATGCTTTGTTTACTGTTGGGAAAGTCTAACGAATTTTTGAATAGCGAAATAATCGTAGAGTCCTTGTGATGGAGAAAGTCTTATTCCCAGTCCACCTCTTTTAAGCCCGCCCACTTCGCAAAAGGGGCGGAGGGACGTGGTGCCAGATGCGCGCTGGTGTCTACCGTCCCAAGAATGATACCCGTAGCGTATTCTGTAGGCTGTAGCTACAGTAGCTGTGCCTTATAGGCTGTTTTTCTGAGTTCATCCATTTGGTTCTTTGAGATCGTTACTTCAACGAGAGCTATGGAATTGTCATTTCCTCAGAGTATTCTTGAACTTCTCGAAAAATTTCATGATTTCTTTCTCTGTATCCATTGTTATCCTACAGCAGTGAATTCCATTCCTAGCTTGAGCTCAGGAAGGTGTGTCTGTTTATAATCGCTATGCCAGTAATAGCATTTTCGTAGAAATTGCAGTAGGCAGCTTTTGATTGGAGCTAATACTTGGCTGTTAATGAAGGTTGAGCAGTTTTTTTTCTTTGAGAGGAAGAAATATTTCTCATTGACTGGGTTATAACTGCCTATCAGCTGAATCAGCCACCCACCCCTTTCGTGGGTGGTGGTCAGCAATCGGAACGAACGGCACTTTGTCTTGCTCTTGCCCGTCCCACGCCTATTAATCTCCCTTTATAATCTCTTGTGCCACTATCCTTTCCATTCAACCGGCAACTATCAACTAAGTTCTGTAGCTTATGTTCCCCTCTATCCAAGGCTATTTGGCTACAACTTTTAGATGTCGTAGTTTCAGAGGGCCAAATCCTCAAAATAGTTCCATTTCCTCCAAATTCGGCTTGTTTCTCCGTTTTATGAGTGCAATTTTCTATACCGTTCAACGATATTCTGCTACAAAGGTAATTGCAATTATTATAAAATTCAAGTCGACTGAAANCATTTCCTCCAAATTCGGCTTGTTTCTTTGTTTTATGAGTGAAATTTTCTGTACTGTTCAACGATACTCTGCTACAAAGGTAATTGCAATTATTATAAAATTCAAGTCGACTGAAATTGGCTCAGTTGGTCCTTGGAGAGCACGTTGAGTGCTGGTTTCAAGCGTTATCTCGCAATTCATCTGCATATTCGTACGTCTTAATAGAATCCGCCGCCGCCTCACGACGACGGCACTACAACTATTTAGCGTGCCATTTCCGCAATCATACGCTTACAACTACTACGGCCGCATTACTTCTGTTACCAGTTCAAATCCAATGGGGTTCTCTCGTTGGAACCCATTTCTGCTACGCCTATGCCAATCGGTCTCTCCACTGCTTATTAATCGAGGGTCTGTTCGTCTGACCTGTACCAATATTTACTTTTCTTCGCTATCACTTAGGTGTACACTACGCCGCTAATCGACTCATCGCCCTATGCCCACCCTGTAGAAGCCACAACTTATGGACCCGACTGGGTATGCCTGCTTTCGCGTCTATCAAGTTCAATACAGTAGCTGTTCCTAAGAATCAAAAAAAAAATCTCACGGCAGTGAAGTCGATCAGTAAGTGATGTGGTCGGATATACCGTCGTTTCCAGCAGAGCCTTTACTATTCCGAAAACTAACTTTTGTTGTTCATCAAACTTTTCTGTTTTCAAACAAATTATTTTCATATGACCAGAAAGCACTTCTGTGAACTTG